GTGTCTTTCTGGTTTATCGAACCAACAAGAGTTTAGAAACACACACGATGATCAACACCTACACACACAAATACAAAACTGGCTTGGCCCCGAACAGAACTAGCGAGGTTGTCAATCTCACTGGCATGAGTAAATTGCATAAAACCACCACTTTGAGGGTTAGGTTTATGAAAAACACAAGGATACAATTTATCTGCAGAAAACACCACACCTAGCGTAATGGTTTTGCAAAAACCACTGGTCGACGGATCGGGCCATGTTAAGTGGGTTTATGATAGGTGGGGCCTGTTTTTCGCCTATGTGGCACTCCAGGCCGTCCCGACAGCCGTCACACGATGTTAGACGGGGCGTTTGGTCTCGTCTTTTTTCATTGCCGCATCTCCATTTCCCCCTTCTTCTCCCTTCCCGCTCGCTCCTATCCCCGTCAGCCCTCGCACTACACAGATGCATAGTCCAGTGAAAGTTGGCGTTGCTAGCGGCGGCACCCCGCCCGGCAGTGGTGCACGCGTCGTGGATCCCAAGCCAGACGAGCTTTGCGGGAGCTCGAACCCTAACAAGGCGACGGAGGAGGAGGAGGACCCGCAGTATTTGGTGGAATACCGGGCGGCGAGAGCATTCGCCGCGGTGGTGAAGGCCAGTCCAATGGGAAGCCACCACATCGGGTCATCCTACGGCGGCATATAGTGAGATCCCCTTCCCTTTGCTCTTCCCCTTCTCGTTCTTCATTCCATTGTATTGCTAGGGTTAGAGTTCATATTACTGTCAGATGGAGTAGTACTGTCAGATGCTGTGATTTGTTTGGCATGTGCCCCAGGGTTGATATTACTTAGATTAGTTTTGAAATTAGCTGATTTAGTTGATTTTACGTGTTGTTTGTGTGTGATTCAGTTTATTTTAGGTACACTATTAATTGGATGCAATTAAATTATGGTTAGGTACACTGTTAATTAGATGTTGTTCATCTGCTTTTTAATTAACCAAGTAATCCATCAAGAATGTGTCAAATTAGGTTCTGTTCATCTGCTTAATTAACAAAGCATTGTATTGGTGTAATGTGCTCCTTTGCACTGATATGAGATGTTTCATTTGTTTTATTCAGTTTTAATTAAGCACTTATACTGCACTACTATGCTTTTTTATTTATTTGCAGTCTCGATGATGAGGTTTGAGAATTGAGGATGCATTTCCATGACAAAGACACTATTGAGAGATCTACGATGATGTTAGACATAACCTTTTACAACCTAGTAGCACTAATAGAGACAGAAGGATGTGGTTTTAGAGATTACCTGTACTATGTCAGGGATCCTAGGCTGGGGATAGAAGGAATAGAAGAAATAGATGATGATGATGACAAGCTTGAGGAAATTCTAGACAACATAGCATTGCAAAATAAGAAGATATTGAATGTGACAGTTGTTAGGGTCAGTTCTGCCAAAGCTGCAAATATAAATATCAGTTCCAATGTTATTGAACAGCAAATCCCTCTAGAAGAAATTGGAGAGCCCAGACTGTATCAGATAAATGATGAAGGAGTGTTGTTCAATGCACCAAATATATATGTACAACAGTAAGTTCAGAAGCAGTAGAAGAGGAGCCAATTCCCATACAGTTTCAAACACAGCACAACACAAAACAATTTGAATGTGTAGCCAGCTTTAGGTTATGTAGAAGTGGAACAAGATCATTTAAACAATCCAGAGGAGCAACTGGAAATATAAAAATTAATGGAGGAGACAAGGAGGAAGGAAATTGAAATGTTTATGAAGAGTAAGAAACAAAAAGAGAAGGACACTTCTTTGAAAATAAAAGCTGCAGTGATGGACAGTGAAGAGGATAGTGATGATGATCATTTGGTCAAATATGGTGATATCCTTGCTAGGCTTGAGGAGATGAAAAGACAGAGGGATGATCCATTACTTCATTTTGAAGGGGACACAGATGTTGAGGAAATGTACGAGACAGAGAAGGAGAAGGATGCACTATATGAGCCTGAAGGTGAAGAAGAGGACGTAGAGGAGGAAGAGGAACAAGAGGAGGAACTAGGCCAAGATGGAGAGAAGTAGAAAAGGGACAAGAGACAAGAGACACAGAAAAGGCCCAACTAGCATATCAAATGCATGTGTAGATCACTTGTTTGAGGAGGACCGGATACCATCATCTGACGACGACAGAAACCAATGGACTTGGGTATGGAAGATGATGATGGTGCGAAGGCATTGGCATATGTTTTGCGTGATGGCAGGAAAAGAAGAGCTAAGAAGATGAAGAAGAGGATATGGTATGATGAGGACAGAGCTCACCCAGATGAGCAATTTGTGAAGCGTCTTTGCTTCATTGATGTGTACCCGTTCAAAATTACACTTCAAACCATGCACATTTCACAGAACAGGAACTTTGAGTACCATAGAAATTGCAGTGACATGATTATAACACAGCGCATAGATGAGACATGCCCTTTTTATATAGCAGCTTCTCAGATTGCAAATGAGAATACATTTACCATCAGGAAGCAGTATTTGGTGCACACATGCCCTTCTGTGTCAGAGAACACCAAAGTAACTGTTAAGTGGGTTGCAAATTTTTGTGAGGAAGCAATCAGAAATGACCCATGCACAACAATCACAACTATTATTAACACTACAAAGAGCAAGTATGGAGTGGAAATATCGACCACATGGCATACACGGCTAAGAAGGCAGCAAAGAATGTTGTGTTAGGAGATTAGAAGGTCCAGTACACCAGGATTAGGGATTATTTGTAGGTTGTGCTAGATACTAATCCAGGTTCAAGGTGTATTGTCACAACAAGATATTTAAGGGAGCATCCAAGCAAAAACCCTAGGTTTCATGTATTGTTCTTCTATCTAAATGGATGCAAAGAAGGTTTTCTCAGTGGCCGCAGACCATTCATAGGTAATTCCCTGGTATTCATATGTGTATAACTAATGTGTGGTTTAGCTGTTGCGCTTTCATTAACTTGGTATAGGTCTGGATGGATGCTTCATAAAGCTCACTGTTGGTCAACAGATTCTTATGCTACTGAAAGAGATGGGAACAATAATATATTTCTCATTGCTTTTGGAATTGTCGATAAGGAGGACACTAATTCCTAGACTTGGTTTCTGTATCAGCTGAGGGTAGCACTAGGTGGCCACTCTGAGAAGTTTGGTAACTACACAATCATTTCTGATATGCAGAAGGTAATGAAATCAGACTTGTGCTAGTTATTTGCTTCTAATTACTTTCATTTAGTTTTCCACAAAGCACAATTACTTTCATTTAGTTTTTTCTGGTAGTTACTTGCATTTATGTGTAATTACGAAGTTCTAGTTAATTTCACACAGGCAGTGCTTGCTTAAAACCATAAATAGAGTCTTCCCCAATTGTCCATAAAGGTTTTGCCTTAGACATGTTTACCAGAATTTTTAAAATAATGGGTTTAGAGGGCCAGAATTAAAGAAATACATGGATGCAGCAAGTTACTCATACACTGAACATGGTTTTCATGTTGCAATGGATGAGTTAAGGAGATAGTGTGAGGCGGCTTGGGCCTGGCTTAGTAAAATCCCAAAGCACACTTGGGCTAGACGTGACATAGACACAAATTGCAAAACCAGATTAGTAGTTAACAATTTAAGTGAGGTTTTCAACAAGTGGGTTCTTCTAGATGTTAGGGCTAAGCCAATAAGAATCATGGTTGATGGAATTAGAAAGTTAATGGTCAAGTTTAATTCAAATAGAACAAGATTCAAACTGTCAAATGGAAGATTTGAGAATATTGAAGGAAGCATTTATGGCTAACTTCAGGTTATTCTAAAGATATTCAGGAACCAATGCATAGATGCTGAAGCAACTATTCTTTAGACATGGACCTTTTGTCTAAGGTTCAACGAAATCGTTTGAATGTATTCAGGAACCAATGGCTGGGTTTCTATTATACAGATTGATTCAACCTATTACCATCTGTGGGAAGGATACTTCAGGATCGTCAAACTGTTAAGATATCGTCAAACTGTTTAGATATACGCCGTCCGTGTGCTCCATCCGAAAACGTCTTATATTGCGGGACAGAGTAATATTTGTTCGCATTTTATGTCTGTCCGGAATTCACGTATTTGTTATTTGTTTCAGGATTTTAATAAGAATGTTAAAGACCAGCTGCAACAAAGGCCGCCGGCTCACACTAGCAATGTCAATGCTACTAAGTAACATAGTACCATCGCCCAACATAAGCTGCAGAATCTGGGAGGAACCCCAGAAGACAAATTCGACGACACAAGCAGCAATCACCAGTGAGAATCAAACAATAGTTATAGATCGACACAAACCATTTTCTAACACTGTCAGGGTACAAACTAGGGCGGGTTTGTAACATGGTTCCTCCAAGGGTCTCACTTATGACTCAAAACTGTCGGAACAGACATGGTAACATGAGCGCTGAAAGGCGAGCTTAACAAGTTTTACAGCTTAGTTGGCTGCCTGTTCTTCTTCTTGATCCCAGACTTTGAAACCTGGAGGCTGCGGTACACGGCGCTCAGCCTTGCAAGGGCCGGCTTGGTCAGATCAGGCCTGTAGTAGTTGTCGCAGACCTGGAGGGCAAAGGAACAACCCATTAAAGCAGAACAATTCTCAGGACATGTTCAAATCAGAAGGTAATGGAATTTTCTTCTGATTAAGCGCAATACAATAATCTAGATGAATAACAGGAAAACTGATCCGAAGGTTGAGCTCAGAAGCCAAGCGTAAATATAATATTTCATCGGAGAACCAATTGATCGGTTGGTTTCCTTATGAGTTACGACTCGTCACAGCAATACCTTAAACCAGCAGTCAAACCAAAGCAACAGAAGGAAATAGTGTGTGTAACTAGTTAAGCTCAGAAGCCAAGCGTAAATGAATATTTCACTGAAAGAACCCAATTGATCGGTTGGGACTTCTGAAGTGTTACGGCTCATCACAGCAAACAATGGGTTAGCGACAAAACACAAACACACAAATAAAACAGACTCTGTAACAAGTTCAGCTCAGAAGCCAAGCGTAAAAGAATATTTCACTGAAGAACCCAATTGATCAGCTGGGTCTTCTGAAGTGTTACGGCTCATCACAGCAAATATTTGGTCAGCAATTAAACACAAACACACAAACATAACAGATTATTTAACAAGTAAAGCTCAGAAGCCAAGCGTAAAAGAATATTTCACTGAAGAACCCAATTGATCAGCTGGGTCCTCTGAAGTGTTACGGCTCATCACAGCAAATATTTGGTCAGCAAAATTAAAACACAAACACACAAATAAAACAGATTCTTTAACAAGTAAAGCTCAGAAGCCAAGCGTAAAAGAATATTTCACTGAAGGACCCAATTGATCGGTTGGGACTTCTGAAGTGTTACGGCTCATCACAGCAAAAAATTGTTCAGCAACAAAATGCAAACACACAAATAAAAGAGATTCTCTACCAGTTCAGCTCAGAAGCCAAGCGTAAATTAGTATTTCATTGAAGGACCAATTGATCGGTTGGGACTTCTGAAGTGTTACGGCTCATCACAGCAAAATTTTGTTCAGCAACAAAATACAAACACACAAATAAAACAGATTGTCTAACAGTTCAGCTGAGAAGCCAAGCGTAAATTAGTATTTCATTGAAGGACCAATTGATCAGTTGGGACTTCTTATGAGTTACGACTCATCAAGGCAAAAAACTTGATGGCAACAAAACATAAACACAAAAATAAAATAGATTCCCTAACAAGTTGAGCTAAGAAGCCAAGTGTAAATTTCACTGAAGAACCAATTGATCAGTTGGCTTTCTAGTGTTTACGTCTCATCACAGCAAAAACATAAGGCGGCTAAGTAAACACAAACATACAAAAAAAGATAACCTAGCAATTTCAGCTCAGAAGCCAAGCGTTTAAAATATTTCATCGAATAACCAATTGATCATTTGGTATTCTTATTGTTACGGCTCATCACAGCAATACCTTGGCTCACCAATGAAACCCAAAGACCAAAACAGACTTAACTTGACAGAGATACAACCTAAATCTTAAGTACATGTGCAAAGCATGTGAACTGACAAGAGGTGTAGCTTAGAAGCCAAGCATAAGTGCAATTCAAGTACAAAACTCTGGAGTTCATACCTGGTTCTTGACAGACTTGGCCATCTTGCGGAACTCCTTGCGCATCAGAGTCTTGTGCTGGAGCTTGGCAGGGGTGTTCTGCTTCTTGGTCTTGGTCGTGGAAAGGATGACAGCCTTGTCCTCTCCTGCTGATGGCTGGACCGCCACGGTCTTGCTGTTCGCCAAGCCTGAAAACCACATCAGCCACACAGCAAGTTAGATCATTGCAGAGAAACTTACAAACACAACAGAAGGGTTAAAAACGGTGCAAAGTGCCACGGACCCGAGAACTTGTAGGAGTGGACATTGTAGAGGTTGTTGGGCTCCTTGCTGAACTGCACCTTGGCGTTGCTGTTGCCGAACTGCTTGATCAAGAAGCAGTTGTTCTTCTTCACCAGCTCCCACACCAGAGACCCCGGAACGGTAGTCATTTCCCTTGGCCTACATCACCAAAACAACATCCAAACGTCAGATCCTACAGCTAGCAACAAGCAACAGGAGGCACTAATCCTACAGAAACAAGGCAACATTCTACCATTTGATGCAAAAATGGACGCAGATTTACAAGTGGAAACATGGGTTACAAAAAATATACAGCAGAAGCAGCAGTGAAGCTTGAGCGTCCCATCGACTACTGACAAGCACGAACAGATCTCACTGGCAAGAGGAAAACATAGTGCGCGGTTCTAGCGCGGGTTGGGATCTAGCCGAGGACTAACCGCATAAGCAAAACGGAAAATAAATCTCACTCCAAACAATTCCAACGGAGATGCTATAACGGCGGACGAAATCAAGAACCGCGGAACCTAGAACCCGCACGGGTTTGGCGGGGTGATGCGGCGACGAATCTAAGCAGACAGCGATGCTAGCTCCGAGATCCGTACGAGGGACATGAGAGGAGAACGGGATCCGCCGCTTACCGGAGATGAGGTCGCCGCGGCGCCGCCTTGGTCTGCTCCGGTGGGTTGGGTTGGGGTGGTGGTGGCTGCGGAAGGTTGGAACAGCCCGGAGCCCGGCGCTTTATACTCGGCGGCGGCTCATAAAACCCTAGGTTTGGTGCACGCTTTTGTGTGGTCGGCTGGGCCGGAGGCCTTTAGCCCATTTTAGCTTTGAACCCATTTTAGTTGAAAAAGAGTACATTGAATAGGCCGTGCTAAATACCAGCCCATAGACATCGCAGTGCGATTGGCACAGCCCAAAACGAGGACCTGGACGACGTGGTTTTTGATGAGGCTGCGGCGCCATCTGAGGCTGCTCGTTGGATCGCTCTTGCTAGGGTTCATTGCGCCAAAACCTATAGCCAATATTGGTTTTTTAAGAACATGAGAGCAGCATGGGATCTGGCACAAGAAGTAAAATTCAAGCCGTTAGAAGACAATCTGTACACTGTCCAATTCTCCTGTCTAGGGGATTGGGAGAGAGTCACCCAGGAGGGACCGTGGCACTTCAGAGGTGATGCTGTCATTCTCAAGCCCTATGATGGATTAGCTAAACCATCAACAGTTCCTCTCGACACCATTGAAATTTGGGTGCAGGTGCACGATGTCCCACCCTTGTACGCACACCTTGTGCCATCCCTTGCAGCTAAGGTAGGGGAAGTGCTTTTTGCTGAACCTCAATCTCCAGATTTCACGGGGAATTTCCATCGCGTGTGGGTCAGAATCAATGTTAACAAACCTCTGAAGAACGCAGTGTCCATGATTAGGGAGGGGAAGCGTCAGATATACAGGGTTAAATATGAAAAGCTCCCTGACTGGTGTGCTGTTTGCGGCATGTTGGGACATCTATTTAAGGAGCATGGTACCGGAATTCATCCACCATCGGCGCTGATTTTTAAAGAGCTACGAGCATCATGGGTTATGCGCAGTGGCCAAGGACCAGGAGGCGAACGTGGTCGTAGGGGAGGCCGAAGAGGAGGCCGCAGCGGCGGCCGATCTGGTGGCCGCAACAGGGAGGAAACTTATGATGGCAATGGCGGAGATGACAACAAAAGCTCTGGTGACACTGATTTTGAGATGAATGAAGCTGGTTTCAACAGGAAGAGGGGCGCAGTCCAACCAGAGAACCCGCCCGGATCGGGAGTGGCAAAAACCGTTTTAATGCTGGAAAGTGGAACAAGCTCGGTGGCCACGACTAATCCTCTGAGCCCCTCCAAGCATGAGGCGAAGCGAAACCGGTCTACTCCACCAACCTATGATAAGAACAGTGGGTCCTACAACACAGGTGACAAACCTTCCGATGCGCATTTGGCGGGCTCCCAGGTGGGGTCGCGCCTAGCGCAATGAGTCTCCTATGCTGGAACTGTCGCGGGGCTGGCAAGCCCGCGACAGTCAAGGAGCTTCGCGATATGACGAGGCAATATGCCCCTTCTATTCTTTGTATTCTGGAAACTCAGATAGAAGGTTCCCGTGTGGAGAATTTATCCAGTTCTTTAGGTTTCAATAAAAGTTTTGTTGTTAGTAGTAGAGGTAGAAGTGGTGGTTTGGGGATCTTTTGGAATGATTCAATAAAAGTTGAAGTTTCTGGTTATTCTGAGTATCATATTGATGTGGTGGTGGATGATCTCGTAGGAATTAAATCCAGAGTTACTTTTGTGTATGGGGAAGCCCAGATGAGCGAACGATATAAAACATGGAACATGCTCCGAGGTATTGCAGGAACAAGCACCCTCCCATGGGCTGTCATAGGAGATTTCAATGAGGTAATACATGGACACGAGCATGATGGTGTAGGAAACAGAAGCCAAGCACAAATGGATGCCTTTTGGGACGCCCTAGACACATGTGGATTAACGGACATTGGATATACAGGCAACAGTTGGACGTTTGAAAGAAGAGTTTCTGGAGGAACGTTCACACGTGTCCGCCTTGACAGATGTGTGGCTAGCTCAGAGTGGGTGCTCTCATACCCAAATGCTTCTCTTGAACATAAAGATTCCGCATCATCTGATCATTCTGCACTCCTACTCAAGTTGGACGTGCATGCATGCAAACCGGGTCCCAGAAGCTTTAAATATGAGCTCATGTGGGAGAGGGACCCAAGTCTTTTTGAATGCGTGAGTGAAGGCTGGAAAGCAACACCTGCAGAATCAGTGCATGCGCTCAAAGAGAAACTGGGTGAATTAGCGTCTGACCTATCAACCTGGGATCGGGAGAAATTTGGGAGTGTGCGCCAGGAGATAAAGTATTTAAAGGGACAGTTAGAGATGCTCCGCTCCCAGCCGGCAAGATTGGCGCCATCGCATGCAGAGGTTAAGATAACTGACCGCATGGTCGAATTGTATCATCGGGAAGAGATACTTTGGCGACAACGTGCAAGGCTTGAATGGCTCGTCCATGGAGATAAAAATACGTATTTTTTTCATCTACGTGCCAGCAGAAGGCGACGGAAAAATCAGATCAAGGCGTTAGCGCGTCCTGATGGTAGCTTGACGGAGGACAAGGAGGAATTGGAAACCATGACTACAGAGTTTTATAGAAACTTATATACAACAGAAGGGGTTAATAACATGGAAGAGGTCCTCCAGACAGTCCCAGTGAAGGTAACGGATGCGATGAACACTATGTTGAATGAACCTTACGAAAAGGAAGAGGTCAAACGAGGATTGTTCCAGATGTTCCCGATAAAAGCCCCCGGGCCCGATGGCTACCCCGCCCATTTTTTCCAGCGGCACTGGGAGATGTGCGGAGAGGAGGTAACAAGGGCAGTCCTGAGCATCATCAATGGTACAGAATCGGCAGCTTGCATTAATGAGACGGTACTGGTACTAATACCGAAGGTAAAAGATCCCACCCTTTTATCACAATTTCGACCGATCAGCTTGTGTAACGTCCTTTATAAGATTGCATCGAAAGTGATATCTAACCGCTTGAAACAAGTGTTGCCAGAAATCATATCAGAGGAACAATCAGCCTTTGTTCCAGGACGGCTTATAACTGATAATATCATTACTGCATATGAATGCTTACATTTTATGAAGAGGAATAAAGCAAAGAAGAATCATCATTGTGCTCTCAAGCTGGATATGATGAAGGCCTATGATAGAGTTGAATGGGCATATCTGAAGGCAATCATGTTAAAATTGGGCTTCACGGAAAAATGGGTAAACATCATAATGGATATGGTTAGCTCAGTCAAATTCTCTGTTTTGATGAACGGGAAGAAACTGGAGCAGTTCTCGCCCACGCGAGGTATAAGACAAGGGGACCCTATATCCCCATACTTGTTCTTGATAGCAGCAGAGGGCCTTTCGTGCCTGTTGAAATCAAAAAGTGAGTCATCAAATCTTCATGGTTTAATTGTGGCACCCTTGGCGCCGCCAGTGAACCATTTGCTCTTCGCAGATGACAGCCTGCTGTTTGTTAAGGCCAATAGTATGGGTGCTATGGAGGTGCAGCAAGTCTTGGATGTTTATTGTCAAGCTTCGGGGCAGCGGATAAATTATGACAAGTCCTCACTTTTCTTCAGTAAGGGAGTTCCTGACAGTGTGCGCCAGCAAATTAAAGGGATACTGCACGTACCAAATGAAACCTTGAATGAAAAATATCTTGGTATGCCTAGTGATATTGGTACCTCTAAGAATGGAGCCTTCAAATATTTGAAAGATAGGTTGTGGAACAAAGTCCAAGGCTGGATTGAAAAAAACTTGTCCATGGCAGGAAAAGAGGTTTTGGTTAAAGCAGTAGCCCAAGCTGTCCCGGTTTATTCTATGTCATGCTTCAAACTTCCAAGAGGGCTGTGCGAGCACTTGAACATGCTAATTCGGAAATTTTGGTGGGGAAGCAAGAATGGACAACGCAAGCCCAACTGGGTGTCCTGGAAGGCAATGACACAACCCAAGAATATGGGTGGTTTGGGTTTTAAAGACTTTGAACTCTTTAACTTGGCGATGCTTGCTAAACAAGCATGGAGGATATTGCAAAATTCTGAATCTCTCAGTGCTCGCATCTTGAGGAGCATATATTTCCCAACCACGCCTTTTCTGGAAGCTTCACTGGGAAGCCACCCTAGCCAAATTTGGCGAGCTGTTATAGAAGGCAAAGAGGTCTTGAAGCAAGGACTGATCAAACGTATTGGCAATGGAGAAACCACAAATATTTGGAACGATAACTGGTTGCCTCGCACGGAGATGTTGCGTCCGTACGGGAGCAGGGTAACTCACCCGCCGGTACATGTTTCGGAGCTCATTGATGCTACCTCGGCGACATGGAATAGGGATAAGTTAGAACAGGTACTCATGCCAATGGATATTCCTATCGTTCTGAGAATACCTTTATGCACAAAAAATATAGCAGATTTCTGGTCGTGGCATTATGAAAAGTCCGGCATATTTACGGTACGGTCTGCCTATGCTATGTTGGTTTCCACCAGGAGGAGGAGAGAGGCATGGCTTGAGCAAACAGCGGGCTCCTCAAGTACGGACTCGGAAGGT